TCTGTTAAAGACTTGGAAAATATTTTCACCATAATGACAGTTAAAAACCTTACTGGACAGGAGCTTCTGTAAATCAATAGATTAAATAACTACGGGTTGAGTTGCATCCCCCAAAATTTGTATGTTGAAGACTCCCCGCCCAGTACCTTAGATGTAACATCATCTGAGGATGGGTGTTTATAGAAGCTACCATGTTAAAATAGGTTACTAGAGTGGGCTCTAAACTAATATGAGTGGAGTCCTTATGAAAAGGGAAGATTAGGGGTTCTTGGGTGGCTCAGTCGTTAAGCGTCTGCCTTTGGCTCAGTTCATCATCCCGGGGTCCTGGGATCGAGTCCCACATCGGGTTCCCCCCACCCCTGTCAAATAAATAAATAAAATCTTTAAAAAAAGAAGGGAAGATTAGTCACAGAGTCACCCATAGAAGACAATATAAAGACACGTAGGGAAAAGATGTGATCATCCGCAAGCCACAAGAGAGAGGTGTGGGACAGAATTTTCCCTCACAGGCCTCATAAGGAATCAACTCTCCCAACAGCTTGATTCTGAGTTTCTAGCCTCTAGAATTGTGAGACAAAAAATTTCTGTTGCTTGAGCCACCCATTCTGTGACAGCAACCCCAAGCAAGCCAGTCCAATAACAGACCCAAAATACGAATGGGTAGAAGGTATACACAGATAATTCCTAAGGGCAGAAATGCAAGTACTAGTGAAAGTTAGGAAAATACAATCAATCTTTCCAATAATATGACTGAAAATTGTGTCCTAAAGAAGGTATCATTTTCCCCTCACGCCAGTAACATAATGACATAAAGGAGGAAGACAATTTCCAGTTCAGGTGCATGTGTTGAGAATACCAGAATACTATACTGATAATTTAGTATAGACTCAAATATGTCATAAGAAGGCAATTTACTAGTACCTATAAAAAATAACATGTTAGTTCTGGAGCAAAATATTTCCGTTTCTAGGGATACATGTCACAGAAATTTTCAGGAAAATATATTTGTACCCACATATGTGGATTTCATTACTTTTAAGAGAGAAAGAAAAACTGAAAACACCCTCAGTGTCCAACGGTAAAATATATTAAAGTATAAGCACATGGATTTTAATATGTGTAGATGTTGAAAGAGCTCTGAGACGTATAAGGCAGTTGCAGAATACAACCATAGGAGGATCATATACATATTTATATATGTATATATATCTATATATATATGTATATATGTTATGGGGAAAAATAACATGCATTGGGGTAAACATGCACTCATTTGTAAATGCAAGAAAATGTGGGAAAATGCTAACCAATGCTTCTATTAATGGTACTTTAACAGAGTAACCTGGTTTCCCCTTTTATTAGAACCTTGAATGATTGAATTTAGAGTGGTGCTATTAATTAACACTTTTGACTATATTTCCCTGATATATTAGATCCTTTTTGTGGCTCTCAGTGTACTTACCAGAACAAAAGAGGGATTTGAACTCGTTCTCCTTTCCTTTTTTAAATTTTTTTTTATTTATTATGTTACGTTAATCATCATACATTACATCATTAGTTTTTTATGTAGTGTTCCGTGATTCATTATTTGTGTATAACACCCAGTGCTCCATTCAGTACATGCCCTCTTTAATACCCATCACCAGGTTAACCCATCCCCCTACCCCCTCCCCTCTAGAACGCTCAGTTTGTTTCTCAGAGTCCATAGTCTCTCATGGTTCATCTCCCCCTCCGATTTACCCCCCTTCATTTTTCCCTTCCTGCTATATTCTTCTTCTTCTTCTTCTTCTTTTTTTTTTTTTTACATATAATGGTTCTCCTTTCCTAATGAATTTATTTGAAGGCCAAATACGGTGATAGGATTAAAAGATGATTGTAAATAATAAAAAAGAAAACGCTATTCCTAATTTTACTTAATGGAAAATAATAAGTGGCAAAAAATTTCAATACCAAAAACACATATATATTGGTGCAAGAAGAAGTCATAGATAATACATTCTGCAATGGCACAGTGAACATTTAACTGTTACAAACTCCTAGCCAAGTCACTGTGTTCTTCCAGAGTACTGGCCAAGACACTGGACTCTGAAGGCTGACTGATCTACCATGTCCTTAATAGAAATCTGTTCTGGGAAGCTACCATCCCTGTAGCTCAATTTCTTCAGCTGTAATATGGGATTAAGACCAGTGCTTATCTGACAGTTGTTCTGCAGATTAAATGAATAAATATATATAACACCATCTTGCATGTAATATATTGTCAATGCATGTTATCTAACATTGTTATTTATTCTGGTCACTAGAGATAATTTTGGAGGTGTGTTTATTGTCACAAACATTCAGGAGAAACAAACTGGGATAGAAACTAAAGCTGAATAATTAGAAATAGATGACCATAGGCCTTGCCACTCATTATTTGACTTTGCTAGTGAGACCGAGAGGAAATGGTGGGGCACACTATTCATCAGTGAAAATCTCCGGGCCAGGGAGAAATACTAAGGTTCTTAACAGGGGAGCATTCCGATTTCCTTCAAACAAGAATATAAACAGTGCTAGAAAACAACAGTTAAGAAATGGGGCGAGGTGGGGGGAAGCAAAGAATTGTATGTCAGAGGGGGAGACGAACCATGAGAGATGATGGACTCTGAAAAACAAACTGAGGGTTCTAGAGGGGAGGGGGGTGGGGGATGGGTTAGCCTGGTGATGGGTATTGAGGAGGGCACGTTCTGCATGGAGCACTGGGTGTTATGAACAAACAATGAATCATGGAACACTGCATCAAAAACTAATGATGTAATATATGGCGATTAACATAACAATAAAAAATAAAAAAAAAGAAACCTATTGTAGATAGCATGCATTTAGTAATCACCACTATGGTCACTGGTAGACCCAGTTCCTTTATAATTCTGTAGAAAGAATGAAAATTCATCAAATTTCTCAGTAACAGAATTTTTAAAATATTTTACAAATTAATTACATACTATGGATTCAAAACTCTACATAAGTTGCTCCTTTTATTTTATTTTATTTTATTTTATTTTATTTTATTTTATTTATTTGAGAGAGTGAGCAGGAGCAGGGGCAGAGTTAGAACGAGAAGCAGACTCCCCGCTGAGCAGGGAACCCGACATGGGGCTTAATCCCAGGACCCCGAGATCATGCCCTGAGCCGAAGACAGACGCTTAACTGACTGAGCCACCCAGGAGCCCCAAGTTGCTCCTGATGTATTAAATATTGCATTTTATAGATTTAAAAAACTAAAAAGTTAGAGCCATTTTCTTACAAGTTTAAAATTGAACGTGTCAACCTACTGTTCTTCCCATGACTTCTCTCTCAGTAAAGGGCTGTGTCCAACAGTTGCCTCAGCCAGAAACATGGCAACATTAATAACCAGCACCCTGACACTCTTTCCCCATAACAGACAGACAAAAGACATTTGAATGAATGTTATGTATTGTTGATTCAATTTTGCTTTTGCTGAAATCAGTCCAAGCTTCACTGTCTCTGCAGTTCGTAATCTAATTTAGGCCATCACAACCTTTTCCCTGATTGTTGCCATGGTAACTTCCTTACCAGCCTCCCCTTCTCCAAGTCCACCCCCAGTCTCCCACCCTCTAGTTCACTCTCCAGTTTTTAGCCAGGGAAATCTTTACAAAACATAAATCCAACCATGTCACTCCCTGTTTAGTTAACCTATTTTCAAAACAATTGCCAAAACTCCCCTGTCACTTAAGTGTCTTGCGTCGTTTGCTCATGTTGTCCATACCCTCATTTTAGCAGTAAATCCTGACCACCCCCTCCATCGGGACTCCAATCTTCTGATATACAGTCACGTTTAAAAAATTCAATGAGCTCATTTTTATTAGTATTTACACGTGCCTTCCCCTTTCATATAGCTAATTTCTACTTCTCTTTCCAAGAGTACCTTATATTTTATATTACTTTTTCCGGGAAGTCTTCCATACATGGAGCAAGTCTCCTGTGTACTCCGGTTGATCATTTTAACCTCCCCCTATCAGTTGTCCTGACAACCATCATTTTCCTTGTCTACATTTTCCCTACACACACACACACACACACACACACACACACACACACACACACACA